TCTTCATGTATACCAGTAGTCTGATACAATATTTACAGTTTTAAAGGGTGTTAAATGAAATTTGGTGATGATTAATGGTTTTTGTGTTAATGTAATAGCAGTTAAAACAGGACTGGTCAAATTTGACCACGAACACCAAAGTAAGGGGTGGGGAAACGAAGACAATAGGAGGGTTAACTCATGTTTACAGTGTTTACTGAGGCGATAAATCCAGTTCCAAGTGAATACTTTTCTCATAGACTTCTATGCATGTCGACATCTTTTTGAAACCAGTGGAGCTGCCCTCTGCTGGATATTATAGAAAATGCAGCTTATGCCACTTCTCCTTTGGCTTTACTTTACAGACCTCTAATGAAATAAAAATAGATGTACATCGTTTTTTTTTACAAAAATATAACATAACAAATATAGTTTACAACTAAATGCTGATTTTCTTTACCAGCAAAAAGCGATAGAATTACAATCTGACCGTGCATCTGTGCCAGTTTAACATAGAGACACATTGAAATTGTGCCAACCCTTCTTTGTCTCTCCTTCAACAGGCTTGCTTTACTTTGCTGGTCATGGTTATGAGAATTTCGGCAACAGTTTCATGGTTCCCATCGATGCACCGGCCTCCTACACATCAGAGCACTGTCTGTGTGTTCAGAATGTACTCACCAGGATGCAGGAGAAAGAGACGGGACTCAATGTTTTGCTGCTGGACATGTGCCGCAAAAGGTACATACATTACCTTTTCAACTTATTGGTTTAATGTACCAGCATTTTTATGTCACATTTAGGTTATATCATCTGCTGCACGTGTTAATGCTTCCAATGCTTTCTTTATTAGAAACCTAAATGATGACATTATTGTACAACCAGGACTGCTCAAGGTGACGGCAAATATAGTGTTTGGATATGCCACGTAAGTTTGTAGATTCTCTTAATTTGATGTTGTATTCATTTCCTTCGTCCAGTTTTTCAGACGATTGAATAAACACATGCCTAAGTTAATCTCCCTGTTTAGGTTAAAAGTGTCACTCATGTGTAGCTTTGTGTGTTTAGATGTGTTGACGCGGAAGCATATGAAGTGAAGAGGGAAGACGTGTCAAATGGCATTTTCATAAGCTTCCTCAAACGGCGAGTGTGTGAAGATGAGAAGGTCACCGTCATGCTAGACAGAGTGGGTGAAGGTATGTGGAGCATGGGATCTTAATGTTGCTGCGCTACGCTATCTACAATGTCTGTGGTGCATGGAAAGTATTTCTACACCTGTCATTTGTTTGTTCAGCATGCACATTTAATGAACATCGCATGCCGGGGAAACTTTTTTTCTTCCTCTGGTGAAATACAACACTTTTTTCAGTGTGTAACAGTTTCTCTGAGGAGGAACTACCGCTGTGAAATAATTGGCAATTTGCCAAACACAGATTCATAAAAGTAAATAAATGCTGCTGTACTACCCTCTGTGGGTTACACATTGGACCACATAACACTCTGGTTAACAGAGCTCTGTTACAGCACTAAAAAGTCCATTCTGTTTACTGTAATATATTTTCTTTGTCCAGACATGGGCCGTTGTCAGATCACACAGGGGAGGCAGGCTCTGGAGCTGCGCAGTAATCTGTCTGAACGACGCTCGCTCACCGACCAGATTCAAATCTCTGAATGCTCTGCTTCACATTCAGCCCGAAACCTGCAGTGGGTTGTCGCTCACGGTACTCGATTCTTCAGTTTGAATATTTAAATATCACAAGAATCTTTGTCATGTTTGTAGGTTAATTCATTTAGGTGTATATGTGTCTTTGATTAAAGTATAACTGAATTCAAATGTCTCTCTTCAGTCCTGCCAAAGAGCCGTTGTCTGGAGTTTGACTGCGGAGTGAAGGTCCAGCTTGGGTTCGCTGCAGAGTTCTCCAACATCATGGTCATCTACACTCGGATACTTGAGAAGCCCAAAGAAATAGTTTCCTGCTGTGCTCATCTTACAGACTTCCCTGATGTTTGTCAGCAGTTATTACATACGAACATTTGAGATTTTTAAACCCTCCTAAGACATTTGTTCTGTACTGACTTTATTCTGTGTTACAGGACGTGGCCATTGATCTGAAGAAGAGTAACCAGGAGACTCTTCTTGAAGCCGGCAGTTTGTTATTGATCAATGATAATCTTCCTTCACCAGAGGTTCCCAGTCTCTACACGCGCATCCGATGCCTGCAGAGACTCAAGGTCAGACACTTGTTAGGAGAAACTTGGAAAATGTTAATATGCCCTCTGGATATAAATAAGTAGTAGGCTTTTTACACCATATTTCATTGAAACATATTTAACTAGTCTACAATTAACAGTATTTAAGTATGTCCAATTGATTTATTTTTCTATTCATAGCGATATATATGTTTCTATCATTGTCTTTTTTGGGTCTCTCCATATATATGTATACACTCATACCACTCTATGTATAAATCCACACAAAATACAGGAAACCTAACCAAAATCTCAAGTAACTAAAGATTTAAAGGTAGGGTAGGTAAGAATGGAGAAACCAGCTCGAGTGCGCTAGAATTTTGAAAGTACACAACCGAAAAAAATCTGCCCCTTCCTTCAGACTTCCTTACAGAGCCCCTCCTCCAACACACACGAACGCACACATGACCAATGAGGGCACGAGATAAGTTTGTGCACAGCTGGAAGGCTGACAGGCAGGTAGGCCATCCAGTTACTTTAGCCGGGCCGGCTCAGATGATTGGTCGTGCTTTTTACAGTACTACGGCTTCCACAGATGACATTCTTTTATGTATTTATTGTCAAATAATTGAATGTATTCATTGCTATCGGGATGTTAAGAGCATTCCATGGAATATAACAAAAAGTGTTTCTGAAGTGAATTACCTACCCCACCTTTAACACATAAAATCCCTCCCCGACCTGACTGAGGGTGATACTCTCAGTTTAGGTACATCTTATATTAGTTTATAAATATCACTAATGAACATTGCAGGAAATTGATTTTACAGACGGTTATTAATGGTATAACCCCTGGTGATTTGATCATTTAGGCAAAGTCTGCATTATAAGCGATATTTCTTACTTTTAAGAGGCCAGATGGCAGCAAATAAACACAGTTGTGATCCATTTTAGAAATACTAAGCTTTAATTGTGTTGAAACGTTCAGAGCAGCATGAAGTCTGCAAAAAGATTGGAAACTGAGCAATTTGGTTCCACTACGTGTTTTTAAAGCTCGGATAGATGCTATGCAATCTGATACTGTTGGTACCTGTAAATGTCGTTAGGTATGTACATTGGAAATCCCAGTATCTATTGTGCTGTTTACACGAGAACGCAAACGGTTGTATCCGCTACTTTTCTCTTTCGTATAGCCCGTTCGTTGTTGTATGATGTCCTTTTTGTTTTTCTGTTGTTTTCTGTTTTTACGTCTTCACGTGGAACTTACTTGCAGCAGGTCTCCCTTGAAAAAGAGATCGATGATCTCAATGGGATTCACCTGGTTAAATAAAGGTTTGAAATGAAACACAAAATAGACAAAAGATAAACATAAAAACAAGGTAGGATTTGTCAAATGAATTGGATATAAACAGCAAATATACACACTTGATAATATTAGTAAAGATCAAAGTAAAAAAATAAAATCATTAAAAAACGATGAAAGAATGCCAGAATTTAGAGCCAACAGACGTTTTTTTAAATATTTTTTTGCTCAAGCTAAAAACACATTTCTCACTTCACTGTCTCCATAGCGTGAGCTCACATTCGCCGTTTGCCTCCAGTACACATATTCCAACATGGATGAGGAAGTTCAGGAGAGGCAAACAGTGTCAGTCGGCAAACCTCTGGTCTCCAAACTCAACCTGCATGAGCCACGAACGCCGAGCACCTCTTCTGCCTCCTCGTCCTTCAGCCTCGACTCCTTCAACGTTCCTGAGGTCTCCTTCTTTACCTCTGTTGGTTCAGCGTCAAATGATTGGTCCTATCAGACACAGACGGCCTCCACCACTCCAGCTTCATTGAGAAGTGCCAATGTGCCAGAGGAGACGGACTGTCATGAATTATTTGACGCGCCTCAACCTCTTGTTGCCAGCAAAAGCTTGCCTCGTACCCAGATAAATGATACAGACTTCAAATTTAGTGACATGTACAACTTTCATTCTCACTAAGCATTATGAAAGCTATGATTTAACCTTTACATATGGGTAATCAGCAGTACAAAACACACACACAGAGAAAAGACAGGGAGGAAAGCCTCTGACGGAAGTTCACCAACTATGCATTATATTTTTTAAATGTTTTATAAAGATTTTTTTATATTAATTTGATACATTATAATCATGCATTAACAAAGTATACACTGCAGATCGAGTCTGATATGTATTCTGTTTGTAAGAAGGAAGAAATAAACCATATTTAAGATGAATTGTGAAGTGTTTATTTAGCGCTTTGTAACTTTTATTACATCCCACATGCATGTCTACACACCAAAAAGACTTTATTGCCATCACTGTATGTTTATTTCAATAGAAGATTATTCATTCATAGGTTCTATAACAACAATAAACAACTCTTAACATACAAGTAGGTAAAGAAAATGACTTATATCATATGTAATAATAATAATATAATGAAGAGTAAGAAAATCAATGAAAGCAGTCAATAATAATACTAATAAGTCTGAAGTCTTCCTAATTTGCTTTAGGGGTCATCACCTAATTTCAGTTCTTCATAACCTCTGAGATGAGACTCAGCATGTTTTCCTTTCAATTCAGCCCTTCTAAATCAGACGGTTAATTTAGTATCAAGTTCTTCAATATTTTTGTTGATAGACAGTCCTGAAAATCCTAGTCCTAGCATATAGCATGTACAGAGAAAAGTCGTTTCAATTGAGCATCTAAAAAGTTGCAGTCATCATGATATACTACTAAACTATTTGTGCATATTGCTTGTTTCCCTCTTTCTGAAACCACATGTATGATATCGCTGCACTATAACTGCACTGCGCATGCGCCGTATTGAAATGGCTCACCACGGCCACCATTTTGCAGTCGTTTTGTAAGCAAGCTGCGTCCATTCGTTCTGCAGCACCAGGAAATAAAGTGTATCAAAAAAGGGATTAATTAAACTTTGAGATAGATATTTTCACGGACGAAACGATGGCTGACCCATCCGCAGACGTGACTCTATCGGAGGGAGCAGAGGTCCGCAGACTGTCGGATCTGAGAGTGATCGATCTGAAGGCCGAGCTGAAGAAACGAAACCTGGACACCACCGGCGTCAAAAGCGTGCTGTCCGAGCGGCTGAAGAAGGTATCCAGACTACTCACTATTTAAACGATTAGGAACTCCATTATATCTAATACACACCAGCCTACAATTCGTTGTTTTGTGAATGAACCCTGTTAATCTTAATTTAAGCTAGGTTAGCTTCACCGGCCCATTGACCTGAATGGTGTGCTAGTTAGCATTAGCTAGCATTTGCGCAAACCAGCTCATTAACTGCTCTTTTTATTTGACTTTTTGTTCTTACTTTAAGCTCCTTCTAATGATATACAGTCTATTCAAGTTTACTCTAGTTTTTATTGGTTTTCGTATTGACATGAAATTATACAAAACAATTGATTAAATTGTGCAAAAGTTAAACATTTTACACAATTCTTAACACCTTCATTATTGAGTGACCACTATAGTTAGTTTTTTTCTTCTGTTTTCTCTACGTAATGCCCTCACTTTTGAATTAAGGTGATACACACTTTTTCTGATGTATTGGAATAATCGTTAAATACATAAAAAAAAATAGCAAAAACAAAACTGCTCCAATCTTTTATTTTAGGTTTTTACACATTTTCCTTCTTATTTGTACAGTCTATTAAAGTGTTGGTTTCCCCATAACCAGGCAATCGAGGAAGAGGGTGGAAACCCTGATGAGATTATTCTTGCTCCAGAGTCGATCCCTAAGAAAGCTACTCCTAACGTCAAACGGTCCTCCAAAGGTAAGGTTTGCATGTTGAACACATGGATGTATAATAAGAACTGGATACAGCGTGGGAGGCGGGGCCTCATTCATTCCTATGAGAGTTGCTCATTAGCGCATGATGATAAAATGGCCCAACTTTTGAGAGAGCGAAACGTCACAGATTACCCGGCATGCCTGAGAAGTACCCGTATGTGTGCTCATAGCGCATGCGCAACTTTAACCAAAATGCTCGTTCACATCAAGCACGTCAATTTGCGTACATTCATGACAGCATGGTAATGATTTGTTATTATGATGGATTTGATATTAACGAGGCGGCAGTTAGCAGCTAGCGGCTAGCTAGTAATTATGCTAATGTACACATCAATCGTTATGTACTTATATTACGCTGTAACAGGATCTAGTGATATCCAAGCAACAGAGCTTCGTTTAGCATGAAAGAATGATTGCACTGTATATATATATAATTATTATATATATACTTATAATAATAAGTAATATTAACTTTATTTAATACAACATTTACGGTACAAGATTTAATCATACAGCCCATGTAGTATGATAATGAATTACAGCAAACTTGTGCAATATATCCATTATTACAGCTCCGTGGGATGGCAGTAAGACGATATGGGTCCGTTCTTATTGTGCATCCATGGGTAAAGATAAACGCAACTCACATTGGTTTCTCATACAGCATCTCTGTAAACTACGTGTATTCACTGTATTTCACTCTCTGCCTTTAACGGCTCGTTGTAGCTCCAATAGCTCCAGCCCCCACCCTCCCTGTGAGCACAGTGTGCTCTGATTGGTCGGGACACGTAACATGAACGTGCCGGGCGGCGCGGTCCCGTGGGTTAGATGCGCGTTCATAATGCCGAGGGAAATAACTCTCAGAATAACGTTATTAGCACATTATTACAACTTGAGGAACGAATGTTTTTAATAAGGGCTATACAAACGTTCATACTGGGTAGTTTATTTAGTTTAAAAAAAATTATCCAACGAGTTACAGACCACTCTTTCCCCATGTAAGTCAATGGGGAAAAAGTGTTTCCGGGCCTGGCAAGCAAACGGAAGTGTAGTACCGCCGTTTGGCCAGCACGAATATTTTCATCTGAGTCCGGCGCACTTCCTGGGGGCTTGGTTGAACACCATTGAACCAGACACTCCTATAACTCTGACATCATAGAGAACCGCAGTGACGCGTCCTAAAACCCGGAAGTAAGTTAGCATTTTTACCACGTCCGGTTCCTTCGATAAAAAGCAATTTCTCCATAGGATTTTGGAAAATAGCTCCAAATAAGGTCTGTGTTTGAGACAAATCACGTTTTGTTCTACGACATTAAATCCATCAGCAGTGACCCCGCTGGTTATTTTTTGAAGAGTTTACGTGTCTGAAAAACGATGGTTGTTACCAAGTGGCTGAATAGGACTACAGAAGTTGTCCAGGCCGTTTTACGTCATTACGCCGAACACGTAAACACTCCTCTAAGTTTGTTAGCCCTGTTCTGCTTGAAAGCAAGTCCCTGCCTCCTGCAAACTGTTCAAACAAACGCTTCAACTTGTTCCATTTAGAATCTGTATGTTTGAATATGGATCTTAAGTTGGCGTGACGTTGAAGCAGCGACCCTGCTGTAGTTCCTTTATAGCATAACGTTAGCATTTTGCTTCTTGCGACTAGATTTATGCTTAGAAAATTATAAAAGTAGGATAGACATGTGGAGATTATCCGGCTGAACAAAACGTGATCCGTCTCTTAAATGTGTTTCAACCACAGACCTTATTTCCAGCTATTTTCCAAAACCCTATGGAGAGATTGCATTGCGTTTTTGTCGAAGGAACCGGAAGGAGTTTACTTCCGGGTTTTAGGACGCGTCACTGCGGTTCTCTATTACCCGCCTTTATTAGTTCCTGTATGAAACTATACTGGAAAGTCCTCTCTGCTTGCCAAGTGACACATGATACTGTGTAGTGGTATTTCATCATCATATCCACAGCAGGGAAGCATGCATTTACAGCATTGAACATCTTGGTTATCCATATAAAAGATAGGTTTTAAAACAGAATGTAAAGTATATGACTGCCTGTACTCATGACTTGCACCATTATGCACATATGTAAACACTAAACACCTTTCATTTGACCCTATAATTTTTTTATTTCTTACACTTCTTTACTTTTGCGATCACCCTTGTTTCTGTTGCATGCTAATATACCTGAAATTCCCTACAGGGATCAATAAAGGTGTCTCTTACAGGGTTCTTACGGTCATTTAAAAACCTGGAAAAGTCATGGAAATTCAAAATGCAGATTCCAGGCCCTGGAAAAGTTTTGGAAAACAATATTTTTCCCAAAGTTTTGGAAAAGTCATGGAAATTGAACTAAAGTTGCATCAAATATAATTTATATTTTAGCTAATCGCCGAAATAGTAATACTATAATGATAATAAATTAAACGTAAAATGGCATTTAACTGACGAGGTATTTTGCTGGTGAGAGATTTGAGTTGCTTTAGCCTGTAGAAGCTAGTAAGCCTATTGGATTTGTTTTAGATAGACACAACATGTTTCAGATGCAGACCTTATTTTCCTGTTCCATGTTAAAATAAACCATTTTCAGTTTTCATTTTTCTGGTCATGGAAAGTTAGGTAAAGGTCATGGAAAAGTCATTGAAAATCATTGGTGAAAAAGTGTATGAACCCTTATCTTATCTAGAGGTAAACTCAAAGTCGAATGGTCCAGATGCAGTTTGTATTTCCGTCGGCTCTGACTTTGCTTTTTGCAGCACAGAGTTATTACAGTTCTGCAACAGAACAATAGTTTTGAAAAACAAATACACAAGGAGGAAGGGAGAAATATGTTCTCTAGCGGTGGTGGCGAAGTCGATAGGGACTTGGCTTGTCAACTTGGAAGGTCACCAGTTCAAGACCAAGTGCTACCGAGGTGTCCCTGAGCAAGGCACCGTTCCTACACTGCTCCCGGGCGCTGTTAAAAATGGCAGCACACTGCTCCTAACACTAGGATGGGTCAAATGCAGAGAAACTATTTCCCCACGGGGATTAATAAAGTATATCAAATCAAATCAAAATATCATCTGAAAGAGCACGTAGTCAAATATAAGCTATTTTTAAAAAGAGACGATTTGAGTCGTCTTTCGAAACTGTCCACTGAGTCAGCAAAGCTAGCATTTAAACGGCAGAGTTTTCTATATTTTTGTGTCAAAGTGGCTTAAAGTAGTTTCCCAAAGGCTTTTGTGTTTTCCTTGGGAAGAGTTAAAAGAACATGTAATGAGTAGTTTCCACGCCAGAGTAAAACATATACTTAAATGAGTAGAATTTCAAAGTTTCCCTGTATTTAATTTCCATTTTCAATCAATGTACAGTGTATATTCTCCTAGGCAGGTCCCACTAGTAGTTTAAGTGCTAAGCATTGTCATTGTCTGCAACAAATGCCCACTATTTAATGAGTTATATTAAGTGGAATTTAGTAGGAGACTGTAAGAGAGCTGTTCTATAAAGGCAATAGTCATTTAGACAAGTTGGTATTGAAGTGCATAATGGTGTAAGGTCTACCAACTGTGCAAATTGTGGTAAATCTGCACTTCTGTGACCCACCGAACATTTCTTTGACACCTGTGAGACATCAAAATGAGCACTTTGACTAAACTAAATCATATTTTCTTCAGATGCAATGCCAGAGAACGATGAACCAGAAGAAAGCACTATGGAGGAAGATTGCAATGTGAGTTTGCTGAACCTATTGTCTCACACTTAAGCAGTTCTATAACGGGGTGCTTTGCAGAATTGAACTCCCTGCATAGTTTTTCGATATTGCTGTTCAGCGTTCTTTATAGACTTCAGCAAATGTCTTTCTTTCTTTTAAGGAGGAGCATCAGGATGATCATGAGAACATGCAGGAAATGGACATCCTCGACATGAGCATTCTGGATGACACGGAGAATGACAACGGGATACCAGCCAAGGACGATGAGGAGGAAACCGTGAATTCACCCTGTGACGACGACGCACTGTTGAAAGACGAAAATGAAAACAAGATCTTGGAGTCAGAAGATGAAGCAAAAGCTCCAGAGGTGAGAAATCATACAAGAACAAACTTGTCAACTAATTCTGATATTCTGTCCGTCTAACTGGCAGGTTTTTTTTAATGTGACCGCATTTGTTTGAGCAGATGGAGGCATCCGAGATGTTAGAGGAGAAGGAGGAATTACTGACTAACTCATCAATCACTATGGTATGTTCCCTCACAAATATCTTCCAGCATGTGAAGCTTGGGAATCTTAAGGTGAACCACATTTCACAAACTGTCACATTAATTACAGGGTGTCTGCGGGGTCTTAAAAAGTAGTAAAAGTTGATGAATCAATTTAGCGAAAATTAAGGCTATTAAAAAGTATTAAACGGCATTTTCCAAGGTATTACATTTTGTAGCTTATGGCACATTTAGCCCCGTTTAAGCGTCCCTAAGCGTCCTCGCTCAGGCTGCCTCGCTGGCCCTCCGAGGCCGTGGCGCATTTCCATTACAGTTTAGGACCTGGGGTAGCAACGCAGTGTAGGCGGGGCGATCGGCTTCACATTTCGAGTTATTCCGTCGAGCTCCCGCTGGATTTGATCATCCCCAATGAGATGTAGGAACGTCGTCACCTCCTCGGTGCTTTTCTTTGACGTTGCCATTTTTGTAGCTCCTACGTTTACCAAAATGCTGTGTATAAAAATGCTGCAAGCTTGCTTCTAGATATATATGCGACGCTAGGGATGATCTCGAGCGCGATCTTGTGACGATTCTCTCTGACCAATCAGCAGTCGAGTGTTGACGTCACTAGTTCAGCCCTGGCCCTGGTCTGAGGGAACCACGATTTTATGAGGCCGGAAAAAGAGGGAAAAAGTACCCGCTAGCCGGTGCTACGCTATATGGAAAGGCCACCAAAAACTGGCCTGTCCTTTTGAGGACGATTAAGGACGCTTAAACGGGGCTACCCGCTGCAGTGGAAATGCGCCATTATAGTCAATGTGAGGTAAAGTGTGTCGCCAAGGTAACCGGTTAGAACTCCAAGTGGCGATGAGGTCTTAAAATGTATGGAAAGGGTCTTAAAAAAGGTCTTGAAAGGAATTACATTTGACTTCAGGATTCCTGCATAAACCCTGAATTAAGACATCATTCTCTTCTTTTAGGCGGAGGATCCAGATGCAGATGACGTGAAAGAAGTAACAGGTACTGTAAGAAAGGGTTTGAGAAAAAAAAGGTGGCGGCATCTTTTTACAGTGTGGAGCTTGGAATGCAAACACTTTGTTTTGTTAGGGGGAGAGACTGGAAGCCCAAAGGGGATTGCTGGCTTTGTGTGGAAATGTGGTTAACCATAACTTATACATATTACTGGTCAAATTGATTTAAGATGCCGGTTATCTTCTTGCACTATAAAAATCAAGTGTGGTTAACAACTTGATGCACATTGACAGCAATTAAACATGGTCAGGGAGGTGTGACCGCAGTCTTTCTAGGTTTGCCACATGAAGACAAAGACAAAGAAGATCCACCAAGACTCACTTTTTAAAGACATGGACTCAGAAATCAGCTGGATATGAACTTGCTGGACTTGAGCTAAAGTTGTTGTCATTACGAATGGACACTGGTTACGTCAAAGGTCGAAAGAAGACGGGACTGCAGCGAGAATCTGCTGCCGCACTGCTGATCTTGTGGCTTTCTTCAGCACTGAACTCTTTGTCTGCTTTGCATCAGGTGAACACTGTGGTGAAAAATGAGTGGCACCAGTTGCTCAGTTGTCCTCCAGCCTTTTGGGTTCTCTTCCAGTCTCTCGTTAGGGTCTGCTTCATCGTTTTAATTCATAGTTTCTAAGGCACAGGCCAGTGGTCATGCCGTTCCTAATCCAGGCCTTGCCAGTTCCTCGTTAACCATTGCTGTGTTTCAGAAGTGATTAAACTCTGTGCCATTCTATTCCTGTTAAATCCGTAGAAAATGAAAAAGTAGCCGGGTCTTGTTTATCTGAGCCGCTTAACGAAGATCAGCACCAGAGCCCCGAGACGATCCCCGAAGAAGAGCAAGCTGCCGCGGCCGGAGGGGAAGACAATGTGTCCGACACCGGAGACAAGTCCGAGCAGGCCGCCTCTGGAGACGTGGAGACCGTCCGGGATGTTGTGGAGACCGCCCGGGATGTTGTGGAGACCGTCCGGGATGTTGTCGAGACCGTCCGGGATGTTGTCGAGACCATCCGGGATGTTGTCGAGACGGACGCCTTAGAGGTTGGGGACACAGAGAAAGCCCCAGAAGAGACATTTGACTCTGAAAACAAAAGCACGCAGGCTGTTAGTGATAGCGTACAGGGCACTGTGGGAGAAACTGTTGATACAGAAATGGGGGCTAAGGAGGGTGAGGAGGAGGATGAGAAGACAGAAGAGAAAGCTGCCGCGGATTCAGCGTCCACAGTGAAAGAGTCCTCTTCTGTAGAGGGCGATGATCCGAAAAAGAGGTTTGTTGCTTTATGTCTACTAGAAACCAAAATGGCTATCTCTGTTGCATTGGCTCCTTTGTGCTAGCAAAATTTGGATTGCTCTTTTTGGAGGTAAAAAAAAAAACGTTCTGTGCATTTGTCCGTTTTCATTTGTGATTCTTTACACTCACCGATCTGACTTTATTACCCATTAACAAGTAAAGTATTGGGATTGCCAAATCCATTTATGCACTGTTAAATCCCTGCTCTATGGATCATGATGGGCTGATCACTGTCAGTTTGTATTACACCATAAAACACAACTATAAACATCTGTATGAGGAGAGATGGCGGGGACCCTCACTGCTGTTTACTTATTGCTTTTTTTCTTTGCCTCTAGCTCTGAGGAGAAAGATTCCAAGACTGAGACAAAAGACGAGACAGGTGAGTGTTTTGAGTAGAGCTGCACTGCTACCACAATTATAATCATGTTGAATGAGATAATATAATTGCTCATACATAGGGCCAAAATATTATTTTATATTCTGCCCTTTTTAATTTGATAAACATAGCACTGCTTTCCCTTGCATTTTGTGCTGCATTTTTACAATGTGTTTTTCTGCTAAATGAGACCTTTCTAGACGCAACATTTTAATACAATTGACCCAAATTAAATCAACAGAGCACAGGGGGTCCGCGGGGTCTTAAAAAGTATTAAAAGTTGATAAATCAATTTTAGCGAAATGCACAAAATGCACTTTGTGATGTCTTTTATACATCAATGTGTCCCCGGTGCGTCGGGGAACTCACGCAGCGTCAGAAAATAAAACCCTCTCTCTTTTCCTCCGTACACAAATATTTTAAAAACGGGTGTACAACGAGCGGATGCAGATTTGCTGCCGACATGACGTCAAATTGGCAGCAGACCCACAGAGAGTTGCTATCAGAAACAATGCCTGACGTGTTTTGGACGTAATCTCGTCTTTGTTTACATTAGCAAGCATCGCTAACACTCAGAGCTAACCTGTACTGGAGAGCACGTGTTTAGAAAGCAGGACATAAAAAAAGGAACTCACCTTGTGATAAACCCGCAAGAGAAAAAGCATTTGAGCTCCATACTGTTTCAGAGATAATCCTTGACGTGGTTTAAACAGGATGGCGTTTTATCACAGCAGAATTTAACTTTATCTCCGGTAGAATTCTGATCAGGCATTAGCTCCGGCTCCTCTTCTTTCTTTTTTTCAAGCTAAGGACCCAAAATCTGCATTTCTCTAACAGGGCTGCAACAGAGGGGTTTGAGCAGTATGAGGCATGGCTACAATGGGGGATCTGTTTGGGATTTTAAGCAAAAAACTTCACAGACATGTTTTGTATAGGTATGGCCCTACAATATATGTTTCCAATATAGAATAATAGGTCCACTTTAAGCCTATTAAAAAGTATTAAAGGGCATTTTCCAAGGTATTACATTTTGTAGCTTGTTTTCAATAAGTATATAAATGGTCCAAAGAGGTTGTATTCTACAGTCTGCCTGAATGTAATCATGGCGTAGGTGTGTAGTGTGATTCTGTGTAGTTTATTGATGGCATCCCGTTGGGTTTGACGTCATCTGAACAGGACATCGCACGCTCACTGCTTGTTAGCGCGGAGGTCCGTTTACGCCGGTTGTTAAACAACATCGTTATGGGGAAATGCAAGTCTGCGTCCAAATGGTTGGAAGATAAGGAGGAAGGACAATCAATACTGTATATAGTCAATGTGAGGTAAAGTGTGTCGCCAAGGTAACCGGCTAGAACTCCAAGTGGAGATGAGGTCTTAAAATGTATGGAAAGGGTCTTAAAAGGTTTTACATTTGACTTCAGGATTCCTGCATTTACCCTGTGCTCATGTATTTGTTGTATATCTGTTTGTAGCCGCTGGAAGTGCTGCAGCTAGCAGTAGCAGAAATCTGTGGGTCAGCGGTCTTTCTTCCACTACTAGAGCGACTGATCTGAAGACTCTTTTCAGCAAATATGGCAAGGTAAGTCCAAGCAAACTATTCCTTACCATACCAATTTACACATCACTTTTAATCTATCTAAAATGTGAGGATTTCTTATTTGTTCCTCCTTGTCTTCCCGTTTTCCTGCAGGTTGTTGGAGCGAAGGTGGTGACGAATGCTAAGAGTCCCGGGGCTCGCTGCTATGGTTTTGTCACCATGTCTTCCACTGAGGAGGCCTCAAAGTGCATCGAGCACCTCCACAGGACCGAGCTGCACGGCAGGATGATCTCTGTGGAGCGGGTCAGTGTCAGGAGGAAGACTCTTGATTATAATATTATATTTATATCATTGAGAATCTAGATCAGCGGTTCCCAACCTTTTTCAACTCGGCACCCATTTAAGAATCTAACACATTCAACCATAAACAATACGGAGGCTAAATAAAGTTCTGATTGGTCAATTCAGAACATGTGACACGTTGTTAATCCAGTAGAACAGACCGCTGTCAAGGACTGTAATGACCGTTGCTAAGGAGGATCAAGAAAGAGAAAGGAAAAGAGGTTAAAATAAAAAATCTTAATAATGAAATGTTTCCACACAAATCATAATGTTTTGCAAATGATTTGGTGGCCTAGATGTTTATTTATTGTAGGGTGCTGCTCTCCAAAACAGCCTGTTAAAGTTTTTCCATAATTAAAATATCGCCTTCGAGTCTGTTAGAGAAGTGGATTGTTAGATTTTATAATGTGTCCTTGTTAACATTTTGAATATCCTTAGGTCATCAGCTGCCTACACAAGACTCATTGTTCACGTTTATTGTATGATACGATTAGTGTGTAATTGAATCTGTTCATTCACCTTCTGAGTTAACTTGTTACTATTTTAATCTTTTAGGCAAAGAATGAGCCTGCGGGGAAGAAGCCAGCGGACAAGAACGACCCCAAGAAGTCTGGCAGTGACAGGAGACACTCCTCTGACTCCAAGTAAGACCGCGTACAAGCTGCTGCATCTTTAAGTGTACTCTATTACCAAATATTCCCCCCTGCCAGCTTGGTATTTTGGTCCTGTGTGCTTTTAAATATCACATGTGCATACATTTTTAGCCGGTGGTAACCTACAACCACAGCATTAAGAAGTGTGAAAATCAACTTTATTGGAGAGTGAACCATATATTTAATTGTCGTTTGTTAGAGCATTGATAAATCTCACACTGTTCATATTCTCTCTAGAACCGAGGGGAAGGACGGTCAAGTTGAGGGACAAGGAGAAGATGCCAAAGGTAAGAAATCTGCAATATTGTAACTTCGAAGTAACCCTGAAAAATGTGTCGCCTCTCCAAAACCTTCATTCATATTTTCAATATCAATTGTGTTTGTTTGACAGGGCGAAACGAGAGGACTGTAATTATGGACAAGTCCAAAGGAGAGCCTGTCATCAGTCTGAAAACCAAGAGTAAAGAACGAGTAAGGAAACACTTCCTCACACAATGGCCCTGAAATACAGAACCTCCGATTCATATCTGCTGGACAGATTTGAGTTTGACTTCTTAAAAAACGTTTCCTTTCTACTTGTCTTTTCTGCAGAGCTCAAAGAGTCGGGACCGCAAGTCGGCGAGTAAGGAGACGAAAGAAATCCTGTCGTTCGACCAGATCAAGGAGCAGAGAGAGAGGGAGCGACAGAGGCAGCGAGAGAGGGAGATCAGAGAGGTGGAGAGACGCAGAACGTAAGGGTCCTTTAACTAACATTATTCACTTATAAAGATCGTTCGAAATATGTGGAGTTTATTTTGTACATAATCGTCTTTCACCGGATTCAAATGTCTCATATAATTAGGATTTGGTGTATATACCGTGCAACAATAGTAATGCGTCCAAAAGGGTTTTCACTGCTTTAGCTAATGTCGTTTATCCAGCTGCCGCACCAGGATACTTGGAGACTGAAGTTGAACAGAGCTGGAAAAAGATGGAGAAGAACTCCGGTTACGTAATCACCAGACATTTGCACTAGTTTATTTTGACAGTTTCTTAAAAGAAAAATTGGCAAAACAAGTCTTGGGATATACTCAAAATACGATAATACCTTAAGGTCAGATCAAGTCTGAAATGTGACTTGCATCACAGCAGCTCCATGTGTGACATCAACGTGGGTTACAAAGTAACGCGTTACTGTAATAATATTACTTTTGTCGGTAACGGAGTAGTGTAACGCGCTACTTTTATAATTCAGTAATCTCACTACAGTTACTAGCATTGCCCCGACACGCGTTACTTCGTTACTTACTAAAATCAGTCATAATCAAACCTCAACACACACCTGCAAAGAACACATGCTAAAGTGAAGCTAACGCACAGCTATTTGTTTATATCACGTAGTCTGTTCTTCTTCTCTGTCTTCCGGTTGTTGCCTGTTTTGAATGACGAATACACACTACCGCCGCCTGCTGGTAAGGAGAGTTATTGCCACTCACGCATGCGCAGTTCGTACGTGCTCGGCTGAAGTCTTTGCGGTATGTTCCAGTGCAACACATGGCCAACACGCAGGAGAACACGCCGACGCAACAGCGTGAGCAGAGATAGACTGTGCAAACTATACAGATATCAGGAGACAGAGGACAGCCACGGTCAGATAGGAAAACATTCAGGATCTGGATCAGTCTGATGCGACAATGGAAACTGAACTAAAGAGAACATTTGAAACTTTAGCAGTCTGCGTGATCTGCCTGCAGGGAGGGGCGGGCCGGCCCTGCGAGTAAAGTAACGAGTAAAGTAACGATGTAGAGAGTAACGAAGTAGTGTAATATATTACTTTTTTTTTTAGTAACGACCCCATCTCTGGTGGTGACGTCACGTTGTGTCACGTGACTTGAATTTTGAATTGCGCCGTCCCTTATAGATACTATCTCTTAACGTCTCCCTGCCGACAGGGACACCCCTCCTTGCCTGGTCCTTGGAAGATGCGGCGGTGTTTGTTTTTTTCCGGCACAGGAACACACAGCGAAAAGAATCCCACCAGACTCCTCTGATGTCCTTTTTCCTTTTCGTCATTTCAAGCGATAAAAACTCGATCTTCTCTCGAATGATTTATTTTTTTGGACGCCCTCGGCTCGAGTTCAGGGCGTTCCGAGCTGAATAAAAGCGTCAAATGACAGCAAGACGCCCCCTGGCGGAAACGCTGCTGAAGCACAAAGGATGCTTCAGTCTGACTTTATTGAATCTCCCATTAGATGGTAGCAGTTCATATTCGCTGTTCAGAACAGGGTTTGGGTCAGAGATGAAATAACAAATGCGTCTGATATATACTTCAAAAACATGCATGTATTATATAATATTACACGTCTCCTTTCAGCGATCGGGACCGTGACACCCGTCCGGACCGCGAGCGCGAGAGGATCCGTCTGTTCCGAGAGAAAGAGGAGAGGAAACACTTGCTCCGGAAGAGAGACTATCTGGAGGTACTGTCAGATCACTGATTTATTTATTTGCTGTTCTCCTGTCATAACTGTCCATTTTCTCATCATCAGCCTTACTTTCTCTCGAGTTTCAGGTTGATAAACTCACTGAACGGTTTAACCCTCAGGTTGAGAAGCAGCGCCTGGACGCAGAGCGCATGGAGCGTCAGTTCCTGGAGCGAGAGAGGCTTCGCATCGAGTACGAGAGGCGGCGCGAGCAGGAGCGCATCATGAGGGAGAGGGACGAGCTGCGACGACAGCAGGAGCAGCTGCGCTACGAGCAGGACCGCCGCTCCCTCAAGAGACCCTACGACATCGACAGCAGGTACATTGTGGCGGCACACTCATTCTTAAAGGCTTATATGTGTCACATTGTGGAGCTGCAGAGTAATCCCAGTTTACAATATCATGAATCATGCAATCAGTCAAAAATAATTAGTTATTTTTCCCTATTGTTAAGCAAGGCAAGTTTATTTATATAGCACCTTTCAACCCAAGGTCATTCAAAGTGCTTTACAAAAATGAAAGACATTAAGAAACGTATCATGAAATGGCATTTAAAAACACATTTAAAAGTAAAGAGAATAAAACATAAACAACAAAGGGACATGAATAAAAGTTACAGTGCCGTGTGAGATATGAAAAGTCTTCAGCCTGGATTTAAAAGTAGTGACCCCTGGACTCCTACTTGAAAGACTACGGAGGGATAGGGTCTGCTAAATGTGTTTTTTTATTTTGGGGATTGACTGGATGCTCTGACCGGTCCACTTCCTGTTGCTATGCAACGCCTCGCGTCGAAAATAGACTTGCATCCTATTTTGAGCGGAGCCCAGCGCCGAGACGCTTCTGAGCCGTAACGCGTATTCTGGTGGAATAGCACCCATTGACTAGAGTGGCCGCGATCTTTGCGAGCGGCGACGGACCCGGGAATCTAGGGGTTGGTGAGGACTCGCCCTAAGATATGATATAATATAACACATTTCCGATAATAAGGTTTGGAGCTTCACTACTGTATGTACTGTTTATATTAAATCCTTTATTTGTCGCAAAATAAGGAACATTTTTGTACATTGATACATACAACAAGGGCACAGTGCAGATGTAAGGCATAAATAGTAGGTTAGTATATTTAATAGAAGCGGCAAACACGTGTTATAAATCAAATAAGTATTCTATCCTAGTGAAAATAGCAGCATGATAAGTTTCCCTGCTCCTCTCACAGGAAGGAGGACTGGCCTGAGAAGCGCATTGCTCTGGACGACCGCTACAGCCGCTCGGAGTTCGGCCGTCAGGACCGTTATCAGGACTTTGACCACAGAGACCGGGGCCGTTACCAAGAAGACACGGTGCTGGAGAGGCGGGACAACCCTCGCAGCACCGCGGACAGAGATGGTCAGGTAAGAAGTGTCGAAACCCGTCTCTCTCTAAAGTTTAGATGCACTACGGTTGAAGACATATTTCACCCCTAAGACTCTGTCTCTTCTCATCCCTGTGACCTATTTTTTTTTGTTGACAAAATGCAGTTTTTCTCTCATGCTTCTTTGAGGAACAATCAATCTAAAACCTATTTTTATTTGATTGAATGCAGTCAAAACATCATATTTATCCAGCCGTATGTTCACTACTTTTGTAAACCAATGTTTTTACATAGTTTTGCTTTAAAACATGACTTGTATTTACTTCGGTTCATCAAGAATTGTTATACTTAACTTCCCTTGGCGGCATGAAAGAAAATTGTTTCTACGCAACATTTAAAAAAAAATATTTTTGAGTTTTGTGGATGAAGTATTCTTTTCTAAAAGTGTGTGTGTGTGTGTGTGTGTGTGTGTGTGTGTGTGTGTGTGTGTGTGTGTGTGTGTGTGTGTGTGTGTGTGTGTGTGTGTGTGTGTGTGTGTGTGTGTGTGTGTGTGTGTGTGTGTGTGTGTGTGTGTGTGTGTGTGTGTTTTATTTTGTTCAGACTGCTGATAGATGGGAATATAACTGACTGTTGGGTTAGACCCTCCTAATTTCGTTAAACTCAGTTTGCATTATGTAATGACAATAAAGTAATCTAATATGTAATAAGTGATTTCTAACCTTCCCGTGTTTCTTCGTTCAGCACTTCTCAGACCGACACGGCAGAGAGGGCCGAGACTCCTGGAGCGGAGGTTTTGATAAACGCATCAACCCCAGGTGAGACTCGGACTGAGCTGCCACTACATTTAACACGAAGCCGTGTCCCGCGCTGACATCTTCATCATTGGTTACAATTATTTTGTCTTTTAGAGAGGGAGGTCGAGACTGGGACTCTAGCAGGAAGGGGGATGGAGACAGAACATGGCAAAGTATGCTTGATTTTTGTTTTGTGTGTGATGACTGTACTACTAGTTACTTATGTTAGGGTAGGAGCGCTTCCTTTCATCAAATAAAGTTAGTTTGAACTACATTTATGTAACTCTAATAGCTACATTCTATCTTGTGCATATAAAAACACAAGATATGCTTTTGTGACAGTACTGTTCTCTCTGATTATTAATACCTATTTAGACAAAATACCAAGACATATCCAAAGCAAAAAATACGATTAAAATGCCTTTTTGTTTTCTTGGCAAAGACCTTGAAAACAAACAGTTTTTTGTTTTTACAGCTGACATGACTTTGCCATAAAAATAAAGGCATTGTTTTTGTTTTTAAAAGATCTTGCCATTTGGTGACTACTTCATGCATGGGCTGCTTTTTCTTGGTATGATTGGGAATCTACAGTTTAGTTTATTGAAATTGTACATTGACGATAAAGGTTTCCATACATGACCTGTAATGTACATTTTGAAGAATAGTAGTTTGCCTTCCTAGGATAAGAGTGGAGGATGACGAGTATAGGAGCAGGCAGAAGGAAAGTGGTGCAACATGTCCATACACTTTAGATTGAATTCTACTGAAAGGCTTTATAGACGGATGTTTAACTCTCTGTTCTAACCATCTGATGTTTTGCTTTTTTCTCCAGGTAGAGACGGAGCCATCCCGGGCCAGAGCCACGTCGCACGGGGAGGAATGGCCAGGTGAGCAAAGGAGTTATACCTCATTTTGGATGTTATCAATCAATAGCAAGCACTCTAATTGTTAGAACGGCGACATAAGTACTACCATTTTTACTGAAGTAAAATTGTAAAGCACTGGAATGTAGAACAAATAATTACACAATGAGATTTCCGTTAAATAATCATCTCTAAAATGGATTTAATTACTTGGTGGATGAAGAGAAATTATGAAAAATAGAAAATGTCATCCTCTTACTACACTGCTACTGTAAAAAAGAAAGAAAAAGACAACACTTGTGCCACATTATGACAATATACAAAACCTAACAAGATATCTAGTCTGGTATCAGGAGTTCGATATATTGCCCTGCCATAATGTTGGCTTTGTAGTAAATATGAGCTCCTCAAAATTGTATTTCATGAAAAAAGGTAGTAAATGTCCTTCATTACATTCCCCTCCTGGAACAGTGTATTGATTGTGTCTTCTTCTGTGGTTTTATTCCAGCAGCCGCGGCAGCTACATGAACACGGGCACATCTCAGTCTCTGTCCGGTGCTCTGAACCGACAGAACCAGCTGATGCAGGGGGGGGGGCTGCAGGGGGGGGCGTTCGGACGCCGCTATTGATATAAAAAAAGTGGGACTGTTTCACGAGGTCACACCTGGAACCATGTGACACTCTTGTTTTGTACATTTAAAAAAAAAAAAAAAAAAAAAATCAGGAATTCTTTTTTGACCCGATTCCAAGCAATTTTTCATGGAGACTTAATTTTCTCTTTTCTTTTTTGTGTGATGTAGGGCTCGCTTGCCTTGTATTTATCATCCAGTCCAACCTGAAGTGTGTGTGTGTGACACCGTCTACGTGCTGTTTAAGTAAATTGTCCTGAATTCAGACGTTTTGTAGACCTCTGGGTTGACAGACCTCTGTTTGTGTCCGAGGCAATGTGGAAGATTTTTTTTTAAACACAAATGTTTGGTGTTGCTGAATAAAATGTTTTTAGAGTAAAGTCACATTCAGAATTTTTCAATCTGTGCTTTCTTTTGTTCTTTGGTTTGTGTGACTGTTGGATGATGAACACAATCTATTGATTAAGATCTGTTATAAAGTCTACTATGGACGATGTCTCACACCACTGTTTCTGTAACGGAAGTGTTATTTTTTTGGGATAAAAGTATAATGTTTTGTCTGTTGGGTTCATTTTAATGCCAGCTGCTGGTGACGAGTGTAAAAAAACACAGGGTAAACTTGGCTCTCATCAATAAAAGATTTGTCATCTTTTTGGAGTGTTGCTTCTTCAACAAATCATCCCTGACTCAGATTTATTTATACAAGTATTATTGCAGAGTATGAGTAAATGAATATAAACAGGTTATAGATGTAATGCTAGACTTATATTGAGCTGACGAAAGGAGAAGCAATCACTTATGAGTTTTTGAGAGAAAAAGTGAGTTTTAAGTGTTGATTTAAAAACCCCCAGAGTCTGGGCCGACCTCACATGGAGGGGCAAAGTATTCCAGAGCCTAGGGCCAGCCGCTGCGAAAGCTCGATGCCCTCGGGTTTAAAGCCTGGTTTTAGGCACTATCAACAGCAGCTGATCAGCCGACTTTAAGGCTCTGCCTGGGGTGTAGCGATGGAGGAGTTCGGCTATATAGGCAGAAGCCAGCCCATTTAGGGCTTTAAAAGGAGTTTAAAATCTATTCTGAACTGAACTGGAAGCCAGTGCAATGAAGCCAGAATTTATTCAGTTCATCTATTAATCAACTGTCACAAAAAAACAGTAAATGGGGCAGCTTTAGCCAACATTAGGCGCTTTCACACCAAGTAGCCTACTTTGTTCATCAGAACTCTTAAATTCTGATGAACTAAAGAGCAGATCGCGTTCACACCGGAATAAATCCCTGAGGGTGGATTAGGCAAATTATCCCGCCCCTACATTTTGCCGCCTCTGTTGCCTAGCAACCAGTTCTTTTGAAGACAGAAAGGATGGAGAACGATTTTGCCAGAGAAGTGACTTTGCTGCTGTTAATTATGTTCATGGAATATGTGGTTCCAAGAACAAAGTACAGGCGAGTCCTGTACTTTAGATTAAGAGAAGACCATTTCCAGGTAAGAAAAAGATCGTTTAAGCCCTTTACTTTATTGTTAATATTGGTTCATAAAACTATTGTCAAGTATGCCAACTGTAGTTCATATGGCTAATCCCATTTCATTTTGACAATATAATACATGTTTAAAATGTCATTACTAAGATTCATAATGTGGAATAACTTCAGCTATGTATCTATATTATATATAATGTGGAACTAACCCACCAAAATACATGATTGGTCCCATCTCACCATGTTCAAATCACATATCAAAACTCCACTCTTCATAACTGCTTTATTGTCAATAAAGTTGTGTTTTATGTATTAAAAGTGGGTTGCTTTAATGAGGTCTTGTGAATTTTGACTAAAGTCTTGAGTATGTTAAAACGCTATACAAATAATATGTATTATTTTAGATACAACATATATTATATACACAGACAAATAAGCAATTTACACAGAATTCTCTATTACCCTTTTTCCTCCACCTTTTCTTATAGCCAAGACCCCTGTACTGCAGGATAAATCTGACCGTCCCGTTATTTCATGACCAGGACACACGGCCAGATTTTCGGCTGAACAGGGAGTCCCTGAACGCGCTGCTGGAACTCCTGGGTCAGGAACGGAGACACGGATGGGGTGCCTTCAGGATGATGAAGACCCGCTTTCAGAGCATCTTCCTCAAAGCGCTGGAGGTGCACCACACCTTCGTTCCTCAAGTAAGTATTCACTCAACAGGATTTTGTATAATACTGAAAAACTGTTGAATGACATAACATGACTTATTTTCCAGGGTTATAACAGATTGCCACTTTTGCTATTTCAGATCATTACAGCATGTGCTGTAATGCACAATATCTGCATCGGGGGCCGGTGACATCATGGCCCCTGATGCAGATATTGTTGAGGACGTGGCGGAGGATGAGTTGGAGGCAGTCAGTGGTGCCCCTTGGCGGGACCAACTGTGCAGAGGTGTCTGCCCTGGAGGAGGTTCCCATGGATCACCAATATATAAAAGGTATTTAAACAATTGTAGAGCAGAGACATTTGTTGAAAATCATTTAGCAAATGTGTCTTTATTCATCTTTTGTTATTCTCTTTTTCTGAAAACATCTTAGTAACATGGCAGCCGTCGATTGCGTCCGCCCTGCAAACCCACGCAATGGACAATTCGGTGGACAGTGGAGAGAAGTAGCTCTGGAGACCTCCCAAGAGGATGCCCCACCATCAGAGGACACCAGGGTCCTAAGTGTGGCAGCCCATCCAGGTCCAGTAGCACCACCTGGGACTCCCTGCTCAGCCTGAATGTATATAGTTCAACTGTTGTGTTTTAACTTTTATGCTGTTGTGTTATATATATGTAGTTAATAAAAAATAGAAATCATTGTTTTCAGTTGATTACATTATTTATTGTTGTGATAAACATTTATTTGTCCACAATTTTCTCCAGTATGGAAAACAGTCGGTCCATCGTCTCCCTATTCTCTTGGGCTCTCCTCTCCTCTGCCTCTCTCTGGTACCTCATATCCTCTCTCATGAGTTCCAGTAGCTCATCTCTCCCTTTCCTCTTTCTCCCCTGTGATGGCCCTGGCTGGCTTTCTGCATCCGCCACCTCCTCCTCCACTTCCTGGTCACCCACTGCTGCACTTGGCTGTGGTGTGTCCTCTGGGATGGAGGAAATTAGGACAGGAGGTCTGATGGAGGGCCTCTGTCCTAATACCTCATCCATTTGGACAAACCACGGCCAAGATGCAGCGGTGGGTTTCCCACTGACTCCCTCTCCCTCTCCTGGGTACTTGCAATCCTAAGGCAGAGTAAAACAATCATGGCAGTAAAAGAACAGCAGCAGCTAAACTAATGTCAGCAAATGTGTTTAATTAATTTGACACACACACACACACACACTTTATACTTCTTCTTAAGGTTGTCCCACTTTTTCTTCGCTTGCAGTGGAGTCACCTTCCCCTGTAGGCCCATTTCTTCCAAAATCCTCCTACTCACATAAATAATAGAAGAAGAAATTAACTAATATGAACAATACCTAAAAAATGCTAAATTTGGAAAAACTGACACTGCAAGACACACATAAATAATTTATAAAACATTGGGTATTGCTGCATTTAATTGTTGTTTTCTTGGGAGGGGTTTTTATAAAATGAGGGATAATTGATAAGAGTAGGAATGATACAATTTGTATATCGTGCCTTACCTCCATCCAAGGATGGCCGTGAAGAGGGTGTCATTTCCCCCCCTCAGCTTTATAAAAAGCTCCATCTGTTCTTTGCTCCCTAAAACAAAACCAATTGTAAGCAGATGAAAAGCTACCCCTTTGAGTTTAATTTTTGTGTCGTTAAGTATTTGAGTGGGATGAAACACTTTACTCACATTTAAAAACGAAATCACTCGCAACAGCCTCGGTTGGGACGGTTGACGCCATTTTTTTTAAAGACGTAACTCGTCACAAGCGCGCATTGCATCCTGGGATATGCTAGGCCGCGGAGGATACATCAGATGTATCCTTCAAATTGGGGAAAAGTAGGCCGCATTTGTGGGTGTCACTACCCGATCTGCAGTGCGCATGTGCGAGATGGTCCGCCATAATGGACAACTCCGGACGGCATCCCAAGTAGGACACTTGACATAGTGGCTTTTGGCAAATTACAAAAAGAAAACGCGAGAGAGATGAGTTATTGTTATTACAACGTGACTTCACTATTATTTAACAACTCTTTTTATTGGGTTCTTTTATTTGGGGTTAAGTACATTGTCAGAATAAGTGAGAAATGGATTTAACTTCTGTTAGACAGCTATATGCCATACATTTTTGCATACATTCACAGTACATATTTATTCAGTATGATAGCTGTCTACCAGAAGTTAAATTCATTTCTCACTTATTCTGACAATGTACTTAACCCAGAGCGGCAGATCGGGTAGTGAGTAGTGACAGGCCATGTCACTACCCGATCTGCCGCTCTGCCCTATCTGCAGTGCAGATAACACCCGGGCCGTTTCTCAATCTCGAGGATACTGGCTTCCAAGCCAATATTTCAAGGATGCTACGTCATCGAGTGCCGCCGAAGGACTGTTCCAATCTCCAGCATACTTGGAATTAAACCGAGGCCGCGTCCTTGGTTTGGGGGAAATGTTGAGGCTGCACATGGGTAGACTTTGCGTCCTTAAAATCCCCACAATGCTTTGCGCACGGACCAATATCAAAAACCCTTGCGGAGAATGGCTGAACCGACGCAGCACACATTTAAATGTAAGTGTGTTGTGGTGTGGAACATGTGTTGGTAAATATGTTACTTTGTTTGTTATCACCAAAAGTGTGTTCCGTGAAAGTAAAGCAAGTTCATAATTAGATAGACATCGTGAGGTATTTATTTTCGGTACAGTTTATGTTGAAACCGTTAGAGAGAGTGGCACACTTGTTAGCCTGTTCCATTCTTCTTCGTTCTCCGAAGCCGTAGCTTGGAAGTATACTTGCTTCGTTTCTGAAGGAAGTGACTTGGAAGTACGCGACTACCAAGCCAGCATCCTCGCGATTGAGAAACACCCCCGGGGTAAAGCTGCTCCAGAGCCACTATTTCAAGCACACTAGTACTGTTCCAATGTCCAGCATACTTGGAAATCTACCGAGCCCGGCGTACTTCGTTTGGAGAAATTTCAAGGCTGCACATGTGCAAAGCATTGTGGGGATTTTATCCCCACAATGCTTTGCGCACGGACCAATTTCCCCAAATCTGTGGCGGAAAATGTAAGGCGGGGCCTCTCATAAGACGCACACCTGCACACTTGCTCGCCTGTTCCACTCTTTGTTTTCCGAATGCCAGGAAGTATTCTTGCCTCGCTTCTGAAGCAAGACGCTCGGAAGACATGTGCTACCAAGCAAGCGTACTCGAGATTGAGAAACACCCATGGGTATACTGCCACCCGAAGTCCCTTGGCCGGAAGTCCCCGGAGTTGGGGACTGGCTTCAGTAGAAGCTGCTGGGACTCCCAGCAGCTTCTACTGAAGCCTTCCGAGTAAATCGCCAGAACGCCGACACCTCATCTCCACGGCTCCCATGCCTCTCTGCGTTGGTGCGCTGGGCTAATGCTAATGCAAGGAAAATAAAATGGTGGCTTCACAAAACTTTTTGGGAGTTTTACGGGGCGTTGTTTGCGATCCGCCCAGCCAATCAGACATA